GCGTGTTTGTGCGGGCCCCAAGATGGCGGCGCGCTGTGGCGTCGCGGTGTACGGCGGTGGCGGGGAGTGAGCGCGGGTGCCGCGGGCCGCGCTGCGCCGCCGGGCGCGGGGATGAGGTGACCGCCGCCATGGCGAGCGACACGGGCAGGAAGCAGTTCTGGAAGCGGAGCGGCGCCAAGGTGCCGGGCAGGTGAGCGGGGGTCGCGCGCCGGGGACGCGGCGCTCCTGCGCGTAGCCGGGAGGCGCGGGGGGCCTTGCCCTGCCAGCTCCGGCGTCTCGGAAACTGCGGGGACAGCAGCTTGCGCGGGTGGAAAAGTTGTCGGGGTCAATGGGCGCTGCTGAGTGAGGCCTTCAGGAGGCTCCGGAAAGTCCTGCGCGAGGGATGGCGGAGCGGCCGGGGAACGACGTGCCGCGCTGGAGCCCAGGCCGGAGCGAAAGAGTAACCAGAAACTGGTCTCCTAACGGAAGAGCAAAAACCGCAGCTGCTCTGCTGTGCTGTCCCCCGGCTTCTCCATGTAGTCAGGGTTCCACATGTACACTGTTTTGCAAGTGAGTTATGTGCCGGTGCTATTAGGCAAAGCTTGAGAAAACTGAGGAGTTTCCAAGTGACAGATGGAGAGTGATGGCCCTTGAGTGGCTCCACTGCTGCTTTTCCGTGCAGAGCGACCAAAGCCTCTTCCCTGGTTCGTACTTAGTCATGAGCAAAAACAGCTGCATTACAGCAAACTGTGCACAAACTTGGAAAAATGTTTCAAGATGGTGGGGATAATTAGTAACTTAAAGAAATAATAAGTGTTGTTTCTAAGAGCCTCTGAAAAATGCCCAAAGACACTTGACAGCAGAGGCCGTTCAGTCCCATGGGCAGACTGGCAGCGGATGGACTCCTTGGTTTGTATGGGATTGTGTGCTGGCAAAGGGACCACAAACCTCAGTCACCTCTGTGGTTAGTTTGGAACTGTCAGTAATGCCACTTTAATGTAAATCTCTTTTTAAGATTTATCGTGGCTGCAATTTTTGGACTTGGTTCCATCTCAGTTTGCAAAGATTGGATTAGTTTATTTTAGGCTCTTGAGATTGGTTTTGCATTATCGCCAAGGTCATGCTTGTTTATTTATGTTTGGTTTTAGTACAGGTTTTAGTGGAACTTATAGAATTGCACGTGACTTGCTTCTGTTGCAATAAGAGAGACTTATGCCAATGAATTGTATTGTTGTTTTGTTTCCAACATAACATGTGTTTTTATAATGCTGAGATTGTAGTAAATTAATCTGTAATTACAAGCTTAGTTATTTCAAAGTGCTTTTTGAGATATTCCTGTGACTTATGTTCTCTAAAACACCATGTTTTGTATACTGTGTCTCTTTTTATTATTATTATTATTATTATTTAATTTCCTAGCCTTATGCTTTAATAACTGATAGGAACTGAACTATTAGATTGAGCCAAAAGGTTAAATATTTACAGTTAGGTATTTGAGTTTTATTTCTCCAAGTGATAAGTGAAGAAGTGATAAATCAGAAACAGGAAAAGGTTCAAAAGCAGTGTGGATTCTTATTGTGGAGTTAACTATGTTCTTGTTGTAATTATTTTTGTGATAACTTGCTTTCTTTTCCCTTTAGTATCCAACATGTGTATGGAGCTCAACATCCACCTTTTGATCCATTATTACATGGAAGGTAAGTTACCATAATATTCAAATAACCATGGTAATTTGTATATCCTCTCTCTATCCTTCTCTCCTCCTTTTCTTCCCTGTTGCCTAAAAAGCTATTGTTAATCTTCCCTTTCCAGTGGTTGTGAGGAGCTTGACTTCTCTGTTCCAACTTCTGGTTTGTGACTTCCTGATTCTTATTTATTGAGGGTAGCAAATCAGCTGTTCAGTGTTTTTGCTGACAGAGTTTTTTGAATGTTTGTTGTCTGCTTGCAGTGCCCTATACATTAAAATTAACATTTACCATACAATTTTAATTTAGCAGATAAAGTGTACGCTTTAGGCGTAAGATGTTTTTTTCAATGCATCTCCCTGCTGATGGGCTGCTTATTTCTTTTTCTATTCTTAAAAGAAAGCCATTAAGATTCAGTCCTGAAGTGATTCTGATTATATTATGTATCATTTTGAGGCAAATATAAGCATTTTGTTGGCAAGCGAGAAGGTTATAGGTTATAAGAGAGATTTTGAAGTAAGTTAAGAGCGTATTGTCTCAAATTATGATTATTGGATATCAAAACATATGTGAAAATATCAAAATTACACTGAAAATCATTAATAGCGAAATTATTTTTCATGCTAAAAACATACAATTAATACAACTGAACAATTTTAATCTCCTTACTGCTGTGATATCTAGCAAAATGAAGTACAGCATTCTGACAGCGTCTCCTTTTTGAAGTTTTGCTTTTTTTTTTTTTTTTTTTTTTTTCTCCTTTTGAAAAACGTTTGGTATAACTTTGTAAAGAATAAAGTTGTTTCTGACTTGCTGGTACATTTCATAGCTCACACTACTGTTAAAACGACGCTGAAAGAGAATTTGGGGAAAATTGTACAGCTGGCAAGTAAATAAAGACAGTGAGGAAAAGCAAAGTTAGAAGGAAAAGTATTAGCTTGGAGGTGGTAATTCCGGTAGAGTCTTTTAGGGCCTGATTTGCAAAGTTGCAGGAAACGTGAAATGTCCAATTAAACTGAGAGACCCAGTAACAAAAACTGGAGCCTCATTGCTTGAAATGATGGCAGGAGAAAAGCTTACTGTTTTTATTAAAATGACAGTTTAGGGATGGCTGTTGTAGGACCCCTTGAGAAAGCAAGTCTCAGGAGCATGCAACAGTAACATTTCTAACTTTGTATCAGGACCTTGTAAAAACTTTGTTTCTGAGGTCTCTGCCAATGATGTTTCCTGCTCTCTTATTTTAACGGAAAAAGATAGTGGGAGAAAAGAAGGGCTAACCATAAAGGATGATTGAGTGAATGGCAGTTTGTTGTGTTTTATTTTTATTTATTTATAATGGAGGCTGATTCAGCTTGTTGCCTTATTTAGCTGAAGACTGAAAGGAGATGTGAGAGCTTTGTATTACTGTAAAAGAGGATGAGTGCCAAACTAAGGAGGATTGCTTGGTTCATCTATTCATACACTGCATCTTGTTAGAGGGACACAAAGTTCTGAGCTTGTCAGAGTACATTTAACCTAGTAACTGGGAGAAATCTGCTGATTCTAAGAAGAATAAAGTTCTGAAGCAGATTCTTGATAGGATGTCTGAGTGGGGAGAAATGGTAGATTTAATGAGTTATGAAATGGAACTCAGAGTGTGACAGCAACTGTATTACGTAATTTCTTGTAGCGACTTGGGGCTAGGCTTGATGATTTACACACCAATTGCTCTGAAAGACCTGGAACGTTTATAGGAGTTCATGAAATAAAACAACAAAAATGTGTGTTTTTTATCTTAAATTATTCAAATAATATTATTTTATTTGACTTTTTTTCATTTTCTACTATATGCTATTTTTGTTGTGGTTGGAAGCAGGAGCAATATGCATGGAAAGAGCTGAGTAGTTGCTGCTTACCGAGTGTTAAACCCAGATTTCTGGTTATTTAGCGTATCCTCATATGTCTCTTGCTCCATTACCAGTTCTTTCTTTCTTTCTTTTTGAATAGCTTGATAAAAACAAGTTCAAAACCACCTACTACTCCAGTGAAACTAAAGAAAGTCAGCACCTTCCAAGAATTTGAAAGTAATACAAGTGATGCTTGGGATCTTGGGGATGATGATGATGAACTCTTAGCAATAGCTGCTGAAAACTTAAATACTGAAGTGGTCATGGAAACAGCTCACAAAGTAATTCAGAATCACAGCAAATTACAAGAACAGCATAAGTTGCAGGAGGAACAGCTACAGGAAGAAAAACAAGTAGAATCTTCAGAAGTGTCTTCAGTTGCCTATGTTGATAACAGGCTTGTTAAATCAGTCAGTGAAGGCCATACATCAAGTTCATCAGGTATGTTAAAAATGAAAGAGATGTTGAAAATCCAATTAGGATTATATTTTCCTTTAGGGGATTAACCCATTCCTAACATTTTCTTAATACCAGAAGAAAATATTGATCATAAAAATAATTTGAGGGAGATGCTGCATGTAATACTGAGTTTTGAATTATCTCAGTGAAAAATGCCTGGGGAAAAAAAAAACATTCTCAGTTTTAACATATCTTTGTTTTAGGAATTAAGTTGTACTATTGAACATATTTTAATCAAAATATATGCAGTTTAGAGTAGTTTTAAAATATTTGTACAGTTGTGGGAAACTTGCAGTGCTTCTCAAACAAATATTGCAAATGTTAGTCAAATACACATGTTGCTCCTGCTATTCCTTTGTCATTTGAAGTTCAAAATGTGAGATTTTTTTTTCTCCAAAATGTAATTATATGTAACTTCACTGAATCAGAATAAACTCAAGTTATTAGTAGCCTCCTTACTGCCCGTGGCTAACCTGTGCTGCTTTTTCCCTTCAGATAACGCTAGTGAAAATTCTTCCATGCAGAGATCACAGTCCCTTCCACAAACTTCCACACCTCCCTTGGCAAGTGGAGTGGATCACAGCACCTCAGTTACTTCTGCATTAACTGAAAGAGAAGCATCCCGATTAGACAAATTTAAGCAGCTACTGGCTGGCCCTAACACAAATCTTGGTGAGTATCTATGAATCATCTAAGGCCTGAGTTGCACCCACATAAGTCTGTTGTCTCTTTCAAAACTTGTTTGAAATACTGTTTTGCCTGAAGATTTGGTTAAAATATAATTCCTTCGACATTTAGTTTACTTTGTAAAAGAAGGGCAAAATATACCTGATTGCTTTATTTATGCTTGCAGTATGCAATTTGCATATTATTAATGCAATATGCATCTTATTAATGAGTGCTTTGTTTGACCTAGCCATTGCATGTTCTGTCATTTCTCACATTAGTTCTTTCTATTGGTCTAACCGGTGGAGAAAAAACAAAGCAGAATTAGCTGAGTTCAGTGTTATTGTCTGGGAATGGAACAGTGTGCAGTGGAAGTTTTATGCTTATAAAAATGAATGCAAAAATGATTAGGCATTGGAGTATTACTGCCTGTCTGCACAGTGATTAGTCTTCATGTTCAGGAACTCTTACAGGAGTTAGGTGTAATCTGAATGCTGACAGTATGTTTGTGTGAAAGCAACTTTATTGTCAGAAAGCAGACTGTTCCTTTTGTAGATATGTTTTAACTGCTGAAAGCTAAATATAAGTATTGAGCTGATAATTTATGGATTAAAATGGCTCCCGGAGTATGAAAAATGAGCCCTGCACTGTTTGTCTGCTCTTAGGGCTCAGTGCTGAAGTTACAGCTGCTTCTTTTGGGAGGCTATCACAGCATCAAGTGGTTTTGCAGCCCAAGTGTGAGTCTGGAGAGCCTAGGAATAGCAACTGAATTTGGATAAATCATTCGCTCACTTAAAAGTAGGAATTTATGTCAAGATAATTAATAAACAAGATGGCTTCGAGTTACACCGTTCTGAAAGATATCTACAGGAAACGCCTGTGGAAGGAAGTAGAAACCTGCGTGTGTGTAGTTCTTGAAGTGATTGACACTTCTTCCTGGTAGTTGTCATGGAACTTCTTCAATGCAATGACAGTGGTGACTTTTTTTTTTTGTATGTGTGTGTGTTTTCTTTGGAAACACTACTTCTATATAGCTACACCAGATTTAGTGTGAATTATAGGACATTCTGATAAAATGGAATTCTGAATAAAATGAGTTGTTAAAAACTCCATGTTTCATATAGGCTTTATTATAAACAAAGATCACTTTTGCTTTCTTTGTGATCTGACAGATGTTATCAGCTGATGTTAAAATTCAAAATTAAAGCTAGTTTTTTTAATTATTTTTTGAGCAAGGTGTTCTCATAGTAGAAGCTTTCTTACAAAAATTCAGAGCTAAAATAAGTTTAAACCTGTCCATTTGACTTTTAATACCTTATTAGATAGAAATACTTTACTACCCAGTAAATTTAAAGAAAAAGGTATAATGTTTTGTAATGGAGAAAAGGAAAAATAGCACTGTTCTTAGAACTCCAACTTCTTGTTGAAGTACTTGCCACAAAGTAATGCCTTTTCTATAACTACTCAGTGATTCTCTTGCTATCTAATCTTAAATTAGGGCAGGATTTGAGGCCTTCTGTGAATAATAATTTTAAGTCTATTTTTAAATTTTTGATGCATGTGCTTTGACTTTTGGCCTTAGCTAGGATATTTCTAAAAGCATTTCCTAGCAAGGATATAATGATATATAGTCATATTTTATATGATCTTTCTTAGTTTAAAATGAACTATTTTTGGCCCACAAATGCTCTATGATCAGATCATCATAAAGCTATACTTGATGGTTATGCATGGGCAAGATATTGATGTGTGTGAAGGTGAGATACAAGTGTGAATGTATGTTTATGGGCATATTTGCACACACAGACATTCATATGCACATAGTTACATACATATGTATATATGCATATGACCATATATACAGCTCCTTTGTGATCTTTTATAAAGGGCTTTTCATTTTAAATAATATTAACAGTCTGGGAAATAATAATTTTTTGTTCTGGAAAATGCTGAAAATGAGTTAAGGTGTAGCTAGATACCAGGCTCCAAGACAAGATATGTAGTGAGTAGGAAGGTAACAGGCAGCTGTTCCTTTTTGTGTGTGTATGTGTCTTGTGCTCTGGTGTGTGGGGGCGTCTCTGTTTTGTGGTGCCTCCATGGATGGTTGGGTTCTGTTTGTCACAATGGTCAGAATCAGCGGGCAGTCAGCTTGAAGCAAAAATTTCAGTTCGTTTCTGGATCTTATATAGTCATGTTGGCTGTGCTTGTCAAGTCATAGAAGTAACAGCATCAGAGCATTTCTGTTCACTTTGTTTTCTTGAGATACATTTCCATATTATAGAAAGAGACTATGCGACAGGTCCTTCCAGAGCAATATAAAAAATAATAAGCTGTGAAACTGAAAGAATGACATGCATATTTTTAACTCGAAGCTTTTCTCAAATCGGGAAAAATCATCGTAGACTAAGAACACAGAGTAGTACAACTGACCTTGAAATCCTTCCAGTCACACTTGAATAATTGCCAGACAATATGTTGTAAAGTGCAGTTTCATTTTTTATGTCAGCTAGAAAGGCTGAAAGAGTATGTTCTCTTTCATCAGGAAGCTTAGGAGTTTTCAAAAAGATGGACTATGCACATAAAGTGAGAGGTGCAGATCGTTAGCAGACTTCAATGGCAAAAACAGATTTTTGGGTCTGACTTTGGTCCGCAGGTTGGATATTGTGATGCTGTAGAAAAAAGTGGATTCCATTACGCCCACTAATTACACAGTGAATGAAATAATATACAAAAATAGATTGTGGTTAGGATTTGAACCCTCTGGTAGTTATTAGGTAAGTGTGCAGTAACAGCACCATTCAAGTTTCTGTGTATAGTTTTATCTAGTAGATGCTTATGCACACAAATGGTTATGAGCATGGGACACAGTTTGAGGTGTGAAAAAAGAAAGAACATGAGCTAGAAAAGGAAGAAGAAAGCCTAGGACTGTCAGTGATTGATGCATCCTTTTCTGTGCTCATCTGAATGTAACTGTTAGAAATAAAAGAAATTAATTTGTTTACTTATTTCTTGCCTGTTAATAAAGTGCCTATGTCTGTGGCTCAAAAGTGCCTGTGACTGATTTTTTTAATATATATTTTGTACAGTTGAACTAATAAACTCACTCTTGTAATTTCTAATTGCTTTTGTAGTTGTTTTGATTCCTCCCCTAAGTCTTCCTAATCCACTTTTCGACTCTGTCCTGCAGGCATCTTGTTGTTTGCATGCTAAGTAGATGCAAATAATATGTCTTATTTCCTGTTAGCACTTTGTATTTGTCTATTGCTATGCAGTTATTGCCTCTTGTGTAAATGGGAAAGGGCAATGTGGTGTGGGTATAAAGAGTAGGTAGCTCTATGGAAAAAACAAGCAAAGAAGGAAAACAAATTCCCGATTTCAATAGAAATGATACTTCTGGATATGATTCATGCTGCAGGAGAGAAGTGTTCAAAAACCCTACCAATAAACCTCCAAGTATTAGTATAAAGCGAAGAATGGGAAGATAATCTCGTAAAATTATAAAAAAAAATTTGCTGTGCGAGTTGAATCTTGTTGTAGCAGGAAATGTGTCCTGGTAGAAAAGACCTGATACAAGAAGCAGCGTTAGTTAGAGAGGGATTTGCGGCCAGTCCACGTCGAGCAGGTCGTATTGAAGTGCATTGGATGCAGATTCAGGAAGAAGGATCTCTGTGGAGACTGCAAAACAGGGCTGGTTGGTGGAGAGCTCCCGAGGAGGTTGTAGGGCCTGCGTCGCGAGGCTGCCGAGCGTGGCCACGCGCTGGCGGCTTCGGCCTTGTTCTTGCCGTGCAGTGACTTCCGTGTAGCTGTGCAGCAGCGTTCCAGGCCGTGGCTCTCCTGGCGTTACTGACCAGAGAGGGGCTCTTGCTTGGTTGTTTTCCAGGATTTTTTGCAAGGTTGCTCTAAAGTGGGGAACAAGACTTCAACAAAAGAGCATTGGGAAGCTAAGTCTTTTTTTTTTTTTTAAGTTATGGTTATTATTAACAGGTTTACATATAGAGGAGACTCTACGCCTGTCTTATTTCCAATTTTGGAAAGTTTGGTTCTATGAAATTTGTTGGATGTGTGTCTTTAAGTAGTCTTATACTAGGTTTTAGAGTGGTGTTTGCAACATGTCTTTTAATATATTCTGTTGTTTTAAATCTCAAAATGACTTTTCTTTCACAATGTATTCCTGTCTGAAGGAAATAGTTTTTTTTTTTAGAATACTACCTCGCTATAAGTAATAGCGCTATAAACACAGACGTGAAAATGGTTAATTGTACTAATTTTAAGTTACTAATATTGATGTATCCTATATTCACTGTAAGGAGTTCTGTCTCTACCTTTTTTCAAACTGTAATGCATTTTTACTAATTCAAACAAAACTGCTGAAATGAAAACTTCTCTTTATATAGAGCACCATGAACCTCTGACTGTGATCCTCTTCCAGCCAGTCATTTATTGTTGCAGTAGCTAACAGTGTGAAGATTTGCAGAACATATAAAGAATAGCTGAATCTTTGATTAATCTGATGAAGAATTAATGCCTTATTTCATGGGAATTTTGTCAAAGGGTGTAATCTCAGATTATGTTATAACAGTAGCTAGTTGCTTCCTTATACTATAGTAAAAGAATTTGAATGGCTGTCTAGATGGGAGGAAAATTAGTAGATATATCTTCTTTACACCACAGTGGTCATCTCTTATTGAAGCCATTTCAAAAGCAGGTATTCCACTTGTTTACACGTTCTAAGATCTATATTAAACCCGAGTGAACACCCGAGTGAACACAGTAATTATTCCATTCTTTTATGGATCATAATCGATAAGAGCTCTCTGTTATGTCCTTTAAAACTTTTTGTCAAACTGAGGTTATTGAGAAGTTTCAGTAACTTTGCAAAATATATTAATTGAAATGAGTTTGATTAATTTTGTTCCTAGTCTTATTATCTTTAATTTCTCTGCGCTGAACTCGCAGCCATTTATCTCTCTCCGTTCGTGGTCCTTCCATGTCATTTAGCATTTTAT